CGGAGACCTATGTTGAAGTACAAAGGGTAAAGTAGATACAAGCATTGCACACCAGACATCATAACGGCAGTGTAGCTAATGGGGTAGGCAATTGCACAGCTGCCATTATCGAACCCCGATGCGTGTGTTTGTGACGGGCTCCAGCAGGGGACAGAGTGCTCTCTAATGGTGTGATAATGAATGAACACATTTAATGACATGACATACCCGCACTCTATTTACAGCAGAGGTTTTTATGGCACGGTCTTGTCACTCATGCTGTCCATGCCTTGGAGACTGGCAGGGTAGCCATTATAGGCTCTTCATCACTTGGGGGCAGAGACATGGATCGAGTCAGGTTTGTTACCGTAATGGATAAGGGGATATTGCCGTCAGCTGGTTTGTTCAGTGTGAACAGCAAGGCTGTTTCCATGTGATAGTATATTTAAACAATTATCGTCAGAGAACATCCAATCTAGACTTCTCACCCAAACAGATTTCATTGGCATGAAAGGGCGAACAAAACCTTACTGTTTATTGATTATATGGCTTGACCTCTGTATATGAAGACACTACTTCATTTGGAAGCAACAATGTCCGGTTTTGTTGGTGAGTGACAGGGTTGCTGTACAGTATTTTAGTTATACCATACCATAAAGTCTATAACAGATGCGTTCATCAACTTGGTGAAAACCCCAACCATTGTGCAGCTAATGGGCCACAGATAAGGAACTTGACGAATTCATGATTTGTGCGGGAGAGCAGGGATCTTGATACTTCCAAGGTAAATTATACACACAGAGTTGAATCGCCTCAGATCATCTGTTACCCAAGATATGAAAAGGGGCGGTGGGGTAGCCTAGTGGTTAAAGCGTTGGCTCGTCACGCCGAAGACCCGGGTTCGAATCCCCACATGGGTACAATGTGTCAAGCCCATTTCTGGTGTCCCCCGCCGTGATGTTGCTGGAATATTGCTTAAAGCGGCGTCAAACCAACACTCAGTCAGTCAGTCAGATATGAAAGTTTCTGTATTCGTAAAACACCGTTGTTATGGATGGCAGCAGGTACTTGTTTAACTACATTAACGTGTAGTTTGCATAGTTGACGCCGGTCTTTGTAAAATAATTTCCTGCAAGTTCCTTGGTTCTAAGACTGCCGTTAATATAAAATCGATTATACAAAGATACCTAGGTTTGGCCTCCGCTACCTTTTACAAAACAGATTACCGTCTATCTTTATGTGTAGGAGAATGAGGAAATTGGCGTGTGTAGTACGGAAATAGTATATATAAACGCCAAAACAACATGCATATCAAATATGAAGGAAATTGGAAAAAGCACACAGTCTACATAAATATGAAATTTGGATATGGAAAAAATGCCCCAGAGAAAAGAAGGAAATTAACAAATGATTCTGTCATTTACAATAAAGAATTTCGGACGTGGCAATACAGCTGTTCAAGCCAGATCAATATGTGCTTTCATTTCCTCAAGGAGGAAGAACTGTCTCATTCGACATGATGCGATGTGAACGTTTGTGCCCCTTTCGCCAACCAAAACCTATGGTTGTCGGTTAGAACTGTGACAAAGTAAGGACTAAAAAGAGGCAGAGTCCACGATTTCAAATAATTTTGCTACTTGATTTAGCAACATGGTGCTCGTGACATTAAGGTTTACCAGAGTGTTTAACATCAAAGACATCATCCCCTAAAGTGTGATTGAGTGAGTATTGTCCAATATTACAGTATATTACGTATGGGACTCCCTAAAAGACTCAACATCAATGATTAAGTGGAACACTGTTTCAGCTCCATGTGGTGTTCAACCCGACGTGTTAACGTTCACTCAGTCATTGCACATTCGTGTGGACGTTTTTGTCTTTGGCAAAGACCTTTTATAACATGATGAATACATTTCTTTCATCTGCAGCTGCAATACGCGTTGTATAATTATAGGTATTACCCAAATGAAAATCTAAAAAGTACCTTGCAAAAATGCATTTACTGTAGACGACAATTTCTATTTTTTCAGGTCTTCAGAAAAAATGGTATTTTTCAATCATTGTTTAAGACAGCCTCTCTTTTTTCTATAAAATCCTCTTAACAGTTCCTCATGTTAATTTACTTGGATTCATAGTTCGTACAGTAAATGTACTGGGATGACGAGTCGGACATGTCATATTGGTTTTAGAAAAAGTACGAACAAAATTATCCAAGTTACCTGAATAATGTGTCAGGTTCCAGAAGTCTACTTTTTCGTTGTTGTTCCGTGTAATTGAAGTCGAACGACGGGTTTGGCGGAGAAAATAGATTTGGAAGTGTTTGGAAGGTAGGTTTGAAAAGTTACTTGGAGTAAGTTTAATAAAACAGTGTTCTTTTTAACCCATCGGGTCTCAGCATTCTTTGCAGATGCAGGGTTGGGCGGGGCGGGTCGCTCCCTCACTCTGAACGGATGCATCGAATATAAGGTAAACCATGACATCTACCGACTACACAACTGCATCTTCCATCGTAACGTGTCTTTTTCCATCGCGACGACGCCATCTCCCAACGACTTCATGATCATCGCACACCTGGATGATGCCATCGCTTATCGATGAAAGAAAAAAAGAAAAACATTCAAAGAAGCTCTTTGTGAGGTTTATTGATATAAGGATAGTACATCACAGTACTAGACCGATATTGTTACAAAAATATATGTTACCCTTGATATTACACACCACATTCAGAAGCGTTGGTGCAAGGGCTGTGGATACCAAGACAGTAATGAGAATTATAGGAAGGGGTACAAAATATAGGTTTCGGATGTCAGAGAACACCTGTTGCATCGTCGGTATCCGTTACACATGTCATTCATATCACATTAACTGATTGACCAACACAGTGCTTCGGGTTGCACCAACATGTTAAATGTCTCAGACCTTTATCATTTGGGGCGATGGGGTAGAATAGTGGTTAGAGCGTTCACTCGTCACGCCGAGGACCCGGTTTCGATTTCCAACATGAGTACAATGTGTGAAGTCCATTTCTGGTGTCCCCCGTGGTGATGTTGCTGGAATATTGCTAAAAGCGGCGTAAAACCAAACTCAGTCAGTCAGTCAGTCAGTTCCGTTTTAAAAGTTGCACCACATCTTCCCGTGTTTTTAAAGGCGTACATTGGACTTGTATTAGTGACACTAGCTGCAACACTTCATGAACACCTAGCATTGTCAGATCTTTGAAGGGCATTTAGAAGTCGAATGCATCGTGTTATTCACAATAAAGAAGTTGACATCCATAAATGTTGCTTTACCTGGTATCATTACTATTTGATAGTGATTCTTAAACACAAGCTTAATATACGATGGTTGGAATCCCACAATGAACTCTGCTTTAGATAGTTATGATTATGGAGTTGGTTTTGTCGCTTTGTTGGCAGAGTTCATCATCAAAAAAGTTTAAAAAAGGATAGTGCTTCTTGAAAACCAGACCGCCAACTACTGTCGTTTATTCTGAACAGGATGCGAAAAGTAAGGAAGATAACGATCATGGAATGTTATTGAATAGGATAGGATAACGTATTTCAAACATCACCCGAATGCACTTCCACCTAAATAATTCAAAACAGGATTTATAACAGAAGATGTATTGATCTTTATCCGACAGGCGCCAGCATCCCAGGACTTGTTTGGTAACTGTATCAATCAGTCAATATATCTGTGCCGATAGACTTGTAGTAATGAGTTAGGTGATGACACGTTTCGGTAGCTGAAAATAGCTCTATTGTTGTCCATGTACAAGTAGAAAATTAAATTGAGATCAATATGTGGGAAGCTGATGGTGACTCATATTTGCAAATTAGCAATAACGGGATATCTGACTGCTTGACCTCATCGTACTCTCTCGGCCAATTTACTGTAGGTGCTGGGACCTAGAAACCCATCTAAAGGCAATGAATGGGACTACATGTGCACGACATCTTGATGTAGCTAATATACGCAAATTAGCAGTTTTCGTCTGGACATTTACAAATATCATGAAACCTAAAATTGGACCTTGGATCATCAGGCAGAAAGAGATCGTAGCATAATTCTCGTACATTGAAAAAGCGAATAATGGTATCTTCTGGACTTGTACAATCGTTTCAGTTGATTTCAATTTATTACAAGCTATCTAGGCGACTGGGGCATTACATACAGAAATGTATCTAACTGCGATGTTGATATGCTTATATGTCAGGTGATATGTGCATCTAAAAGATGAACTAACATGTGTTCTCTCAATGCACATCGATACTCCCACGTGAACATTTCGTTGATATTCAACGGGGTACAGTGATTCAAAGGTTGACTGGTCATGCCGAAGACTGGTGTTCAATTCCCCACATAGGTACTATGTGTGAAGCCCATTCTGGTGTCCCCCGCCTTGATATTGCTGGGACATTGCTAAAAGGGGCGTAAAACCATACTCACTATTCTTAAAACTACGAAAATATTCTGTTTCATGTAAAACCCAGCTCACTCACTCACTCACCCTGTGTCAAGAAAAATGAAACTATATGTGTATATGTGAGATATTCTCTGTCTTGCCCTACTGTGGTACGTGGTCCGTTTGATGCATTAATGAAAAGGTGTACCGCCGCGAAACAGGTGAGAACAGGTATACACATATAGGAGTTAAACAATTGCCTTATTGTTGTTTTTTGATATTCCAAGAAATATAACTGGGTACACCTATAGAATACCGGATACCTACCAGCCATATTGTTTAGTGTCACGTCACCTTAACGCTATCCTAAACCTTACCCTAACCCTAACCCTTACCCTTACCCTTACCCTAACCCTAATCCTTACCCTTACCCTAACCCTAAACCTACCCTACCCCTAACCCTAACCCTAACCCTTACCCTAACCCTAAACCTTACCCTAACCCTATAACCAGGGATAATCTACGTCTTCTATTCTCTCTGCCCTAACCAAAAGTAAACTCGCTTGCTTTCAAAGATGGCGGAAGGTATCCGGTAATCTGTAGTCTTACCTAAAACTGCACCACATGGCAACAGAATCAACATTGATCTACAAGTTTTTGTCACGTGTTATTCTATCCGTCGTTCATGAACAATGGAATATCCCCGATGGTTGTGTGTTGACATAGTCAGCATGTCTGTTTTGGACCGGTGTGTACTGGCTTCTATGTATTGGACCATATCCACCGAGCTTGATATCTTAGTACTGGCCCACCTCTGTAGGTCACGGCGGAAGTTGGAGTTGAACCATCCGTAGACAACCGGGTTTATACACACTGAACACAGGGCCACAAGAAGGCAGGTGGCATGGATGAGGCGAAAATCCTTGTCCTCAAACACACCTTGGTCAAAGTCTGCCAGGATGTTAACAAGAGTTATTGGTAGCCACGTCACTGCAAACAAAACAGCTATGCTTGTTAGTAAATACATATTTTTACGATGGCTCGCCATATTTCTCTTAGCTCGGTGAATCTCCCTCAGTGAGACTTGTCGTGTGTTGATACGAACCCGAAGAAACCGGCAGATGAGAACATGGAGCGTGATGATTGCGAGAACTGGTAGGAGATACTGCATAAGTAAAACAGCCACGGTGTAGCACATGAGCAGCTCGGACGAGTCCCAGTGTTCAATACAGATGGAATACAGGAGGTAGCGAGACACACCCATCACATCCTCCACGCGGTTAGTCAACAGCTGCGGGAGGGACATGAAGAAGCCCACCAGCCACGTCATAGGGATCACATATTTTGTCTTCTTCTTGTAGTGACTCCGAGTCACCGAGCATACAATCACACGGTACCTATCCACAGCGATTGCCACAATAGTTAGTGTTGATACTGCCACATAGGTTGTCTGAAGCGTTGGGACAAGTTTACACAGCACCAATCCCAAGCGCCAGTTCTTGAGTGTCATCCTGACCAGAATAAAAGGCATACACATGATACATGTCATGATCTCACAGATGGACAAGTTGAGGATGTACCAGTTTCTTGTGGACTTGAGGTTCCCGTTCCTGCAGATGATGAGACATACGACGATGTTACCGGAGAGACCACACAGAATGACAAAACAGAAGAAGACGACCAGAACAAGCTCGGTTTCTGTTTCGAACCAGTGGTCCGAGACTTTGTAGTCCACAGCCACTTTGATGAGGTCATCGATGGTGAAGTTTGGAGAAAGATTATATTTATTCATGTCCATTATGGATAGCAAGCTCGTGGACAGGTTGGCCATTTGGAACATCTAGCGTTTGTACAGGCCTTCAGTCACCTGCAAAATAAGTGGGAGATGTTTAGTACAAACTGGGACATGAGGCAAGCATCCCAGTGGCTGATAACATGAACAACAATTCGTGACACAGGGACATGACGTCATAGGCGGGTCACACGTCATTCAACCAAACCATATTTGTATACGACTTCACGCATTTGGAAACAAATACACAATATATTATGTTGATCCAAACAATAAGGTGTCTGTCTGAAATTATAAGACAGATATCATTCAATTTTCTGAAAACATAGCTTCCTGAAATATTGGTTCTTCGTTATTGTATGACTAATTGTATGATGTATGTAGGAAGGCGCATGTACATTTCCACATCCATAAAAAATATATGCTAAAAGCAGAGCCAATTGTACAATTTCCACTATATCACGAGCACATGGTTATGAATCACCATCATATAGTTGATACCAATTTTTCTCGAAAATGCCAGCGTAAACGGCACCCGTCGCCGATATGCAAAGGTTTATAAATTGTTCAAATCAAAATGAGGAATTTTATCCATTATGTTTGCCACCAATGCGTAAAATGTTAAAAATTCTTCCACATTTGTACCATAAAACATTTTGAAAGCTCTGATGAAGCCTTGAATATATTGTAGGGCTAACGTAGAAACTATGTATCTTAACATAACCCAATACATCCTCTGTACTAATCAGATGTATTAATACGCGTTCATGCAAATATATGAAAGGTTTTAGCATCATTACGCAAATTTGGTATTTCTATGTCAATGAGTATTGTTAAACACCATAGATTCATGCATATATATCACCGGAACATTAACACGATAGACCCTGGACGAGACAGGCCAGTGATTGAAAACATGAGTTTCGATCAAAGGTTACGACGACAGAATCAGAGAAACTAATCTCCATTTAGAGATCCACTCCTACGAAAGGCGATGATTGACACGTATGAGGCACGGAATCCCGCCGGGGAACTTATATGGAAATACCCCAGAATTGATGTAAATTGTAGTGATGGTCGTAAAAACCGAATGCAAAGATTTATGATGTCGTCTACGTGAAGTGAAAAAGTTAGAATATTCAACGCATAATCCACTTAGATAACTTGTCTCCGAATATCAATCAGGAGTTTTACCATCGTTGAAATCTAGAATGCATAAACCTATAGATAAATGCTCTTTTTACGTGATTTATACAAAATACATATGTGATAAATGTACCTTTTAGTGTCCCCGAAACGCCCAAAGAACAGATCAAACATCCTTTAGCGACTTCCGTCCCCATTAATGAAGCCATAAAAATCACCACACACCAAATTATCTTCACCAGTTTCAGTTTCACTCATTTTACTTCCGGGCTTTGATTCCCAGAGGGGAGAAGGCAATTATACTTTATTTGGCTCGTGATATATTGACTGCATCAGGGGACTGGATTCATTGGTCCCAGATCGCAAGGCGCTAGAGAGGCTTGAAATAATTGGCACGATCATTGAATGTTATTGAATATAGACATTTAAGAGAAACATCTGTTTCAGAATCCGAAGACAAGAGACGCCAGACAAGCTGATCACTTCGATATGTAATTTTTATTACTACTCAGTTCACATAGTTTATTTACTCAAATCATTAAAGTGGTACAAGATACTTTATAACAAACCTGTATCCTGGATATGGCCGATATTTAGGTTAATGTATAATGCATGATGTTAAGCCACAAAAGATGTGCAGCTTCGGCGAGCCTTTAGCGTACAGATCAAATAGTCGCCTTCCAAATCTCCTGGATCTACTCCTGGAGCAAAAGGATTATTGTTCCTTAAGTGTTCAGCTTGTTTGTGAAATGGTTGCTGGTTCTGTAAACATGTCATAAAAATAGCCATACAGTATCTTAGTTTAACATTCTCTTCATCGCACATCACTCGGCAGTAGACTTTACCTACGCTGTAGCATAATCTGAGCAGCCTCTGAGGTATGTGAAGATAATGGGGTTTTCCTGGCCTCCTGCTGACCTGCTGTACAATACAGAAGAAAGTCTTAATAATTTAGACAGGTCGGTATTGGCGAAACCCAGAGTTTGAAAAATCAATAATGAAGCTTTTATGGAAACTTTGATTGAAAGCTACATTTTCATTTCAGCAGCAGTTGCTTGAATTAACAGAATCACTATCAACGTTCAAATAACTGGACATTATAGCATATACACGCACGCAAGCGTGTTCATAAAGTCATGCTGTGTAACGACACAAACTCACAATAAGCACCCAGTAGACTCATGTTTAGAGATATTACCACCTATCCATCGATTTCAACGTTTGCTACTCAGTACCTTCAATAACGGCTAATGTGTTCAAGGTGATCATTCGGTAAAGACACATTATGGAATCAGAGTTCCTCGGGGGCAGAATCAAAGTCCAAGAGTAGCGCCCAGACTCGGATTCTCACAGAACTTTGACAAGTAGTTAAATGTTGAGTCATTAAGCCCGGTAAGTGCGGAACTTGGTGAAAGTTGTGTAACACTAATTGTGAACAGTTTTATGTTAGAGGAAGAAATAGTTTTCCCCTAATATTCATAAAGGAAAGCAGTAATGGAACAAATATTCGCGTACAGTTTTACCGCTCGATCAATCATTGCGATGATTTTAAGAATTCGATTTTCTTTTCAACAGAAATAAAGTAATCTAAATCCAACTTTAGTGATGGATATGCCGAACATCGAGGATGTCCCTTAAACCGGTTCGGGGAAGAAGGCGATGGACGGACAGATGACAGACAAAGCGCCGCACTATTGAACACTTTTGTAGAATGTTTAATTATACATATTGCATTCTGAAATTTGGGTTACTTAGCCGCATAATGGAGTGACTTTGTGTACATAAACTTGACGCTATTAAATTTACACCAAAGAATATCATTTACCTGCCTTTTTCGGTAAAACCAGAAAATATTCTCGTTCTTGCGGAATTTAGACACTGACACTCTACCTTAGAGAATACAAAGAAAGGAATGTTATCGAAGTATGGAAACCCTCTCCGTTGAGTGGATATGTTATGTGTACGATATCAGTTGTGGTACAACTATAACCCACTACCAACCCGGCCTGGTGTAGAGTACATTTTAGGTAGTGTGACAGGTAATCACACAAAATGAGACGTTTGCTGGGAAATTATTGACAACTCTGACTAGTATATTTAGTAGATGTTGTGCTTGTCACAAGCTATTCAATATGAGTTCACATGGCTTCAATGGTTGAATGTACACTGCACTGCATCATTGCGGCCTCTGTTTAGCCTATATGAATACTGCACGTTTTCACATTCCAGAAGTGTTCATCACTACTCGACCTGTGAAAAACAAACTGCAAAATAGAATACCACAGCAAACTACCGTTATAACGGCCACGCCTACAACGAACCTGTATAACAAAATGTTTTGTTGGTTTTTTTGTTTTGTTTTGTTTGTTTTTGGTTGTTGTTGTTTTTTTTGGCATTTACGTTTTGTTTTTTTTTTTTTTGGGGGATTTTGAGACTCTTCAGAAACGTAAGACGTGAATATATGCATTGTGCTATTTCTCAGCTAAGAAATAGATACTTGATACACACTGTTACGTTTTTCACAAAGGATTTCCAGCTATAGACACCCGTTCTAGAATGCATTTACAATCTAAGCCAACGTTTGGCAGCATTGGGTATTAACTTCCTGGCATTCACTCATTGTACAAAACACGTCTGTTTGCGTAGCGGGGACATACAGAGACGTCAGCTGTCATGTTTGAAAGTGTTTCCTTGGACCTATTTTTGAAACTTTCCAAGGAGCTTCCTACACGATGATATCCCTTGCTTCGAGACACCCGGTGTCGTTATTGTCATCATTCGTGAAGGAGGTATTTGAGTGCCGCTTATCATTACGTTTGTCGGAATGGACACATGTCTCCGGGTTTGTGGCACACCTTCCGGGGATCTGACAGTCAAGGGGATTATTTCCACAGGAAGCGGAAGATGCCTCTTACATTTCAAGACCTGCTCAATACAGGACGTAATAACTAGGTTCCCTCGGAAAATGAAGATCCAATGCTTCTATGGCCGTATACACTGTAAATAACAGCGACATGGCCGTTTTCAATAATCAAAAACACAACTCTACAGCGGTCTGTTGTACCAATCCAATGCAGGACATAATAACTAGGTTTCCACGGCTCCCAATGATTCCATGGCCATATACACTGTAAATATCAGCGACATGACCATTTTCAGTAATCAGAACACAACAAGCGGTCTTTAGTACCAATCCATTACCATCACTGTCAGTTTATGAATCACTTTCACATAATGCAAAGTGTTCAAGACCAGGGGACACCAGTTTAGTCGTTGATGCCTCAAAATGTGAAAGGACCTCCAAATTTTTACCATGAAACCTTTTGAAGGCTCCGCGGCCTTGAATCTTGTAACCTTTACATAACAACAGCTCTGAAATGTTGGAAGAAAGCACATGCCCCAGTTTATCTCAAAACAGCAAAGACTGGAACTGCACGAATACATGACATCATTAGAAAACTGTCCCTTGACTATTGGAAGTTGAAGTCATCACTCTCGTGGAGGACGATTCTTGTGGATCTGAATCTGTATGCACATATAAAAAAAGATGAGGGAGTCTCACTGTCCTCCTGTATTAATAATTCAGGTTGTTGTAATAGCGGAAGGGAATGGCGGCTTTATGATCATGGTACGATAATAGAAAAGTGTTCACTGAGACCACAGCACTGTCCGTGATAAGGTAACAGTGAATCACATATTTTACTGTCATTTGTCCAAAAGCCGTTCGTTACAGATGTACAACGCATCAACCTGTCAACATCGGGCGTGACCGTGAAAAGATAAAAGAACAAATTGTTTGATGTCCTTGTTTACTTCAGTAATCACTCGGGGCGGCGGGGTAGCTTAGTGGTTAAAACGTTCGCTCGTCACGCCGAACCCCCGAGTTCGATTCCCCACATGGGTACAATGTGTGAAGCCCCTTT